ATAAATTCAACTAATAATTCAAATATTTGGAATTCCACCAAAACACGTACTACGTGATATTGTTACTCGCATTCATTTGGCCAATTGTAAGATGTTTGAAAGATAATATGTATGACTGTAAGAACAATATTACTATAGCTTAGGGATGGACTGGGAAGGATCGGCCCGACCCGAACTTGCCCACCTCCGACCCGGATCATTGTTAATGCCCGGCCCAGACCATTGTATATGACGGATCCTGTCCCGGTGGCTATAAGGGTGGGCTTCAGGCTCGTTTTTTGGACTGGGCTCAGGCCCGATTGCACTATTTTTTTTAATTGAATGTCAATCTCGTCCCGAAGTCTAGCCTGGCCTGACGGGTCCCGGTACAAACCCGGGCCGGTGCCGGGTTGGAACTCCTTTAGCAAACTTTGTAATGTGATTAATAAATGTTGCATGGAATATTTATTATCCATACAAACTTTGTAATGTGATCACATGCACGACAACAAGTTCAACTAAGAAAATGAATACATGTTCTTGACGGAATGTGAAAATTAACAAGAATTTCAGGAGTTAACAAGAATGTGAAAATTTTGCCATTTTCAAAAATCCAAACCATGATTTTGATTAGTATAATTGATAGAGTATGTTCTCATATACCCCATCAGCATTAGTACTCACGAACCAAGAAATCTCCAAAGAACACTAAGTCAATATCCCGCCGAGGCAAACCTCGACCCACCAGAGGTCGGTCCAACATTCGACTCCCAAATTATCGGGATAAGACTGAAATCGAGTCCGACCTCGACCCCGCCGAGGTCGGTACCAGATCTGACGTCATGCACGGGTGCAAAGTCAACGGAGGGAAGGAATTACCACTACCGAACAAATCGAAGACAAGGGTCGAACCCTCCAGAATAAGCTCACCATACTCGAGCTCTAACCTCACATACGGAGCTATGGGCCTCGCTAATCAATTGTGGACTTTAGACATTTCAGCGATCAAGTACCACACAAAGCTACGATGACGTCACTGGCACGACAGTTGTACAAAAGCCACGTCACCCTAGCGGTTGCCACAAAGAATATTTCGGATAGCATACGTGTGGCATGCAATGCGTTCTGATACACAAAGGACGAATTATGTTACACACTGTACCAATAGCTAGTTGTCCAAAATATCTCTCCAATCACCTTTACACGTGTCGCAACGCTATTAGACTAGTACATTCATTTTTGTTATCCGGGTAGGACACGTGTATTACCACAATAGAATAACATCTTTTTACTTGTTGATGACCAAGTATTTTCTCCTTAGTATAAATATCATCTTTCAAGTTTCAACATATGAAAGGGGATCCGATCCGATTTTTGCTGTAAGAACTTGTTGTTACTCTGCTAAATTTTCCACTCGATCTTACTTATCACTTGCTGCCTCATTACTTTCCCAGATTCCGCCTACCCCCAGTGTCGTGTTCCATCAATAATATTATGTAATTTATAAATTTTATACCTTTATTTTTAACAAAAAACACTTTCATATAATTTTTATATTATAAATAATTTACAATAAAAAGATATAGTTAGTCAAAAATTTTAACATGACAAGATTTTTTGGGACGAACTCGCACTATCTAAATTGAAAATCGAAGTATACAACTATACATGTATGGTGAAGTACTTAGAAGCCAAGGGAAGTCCGTACTTCAAATTTTAGTTTCCCTTTTCGTTCCATAGCATTCTGTTCGTTATTGTTTTGTGCCAGTTACTTCTTGTTGTTGCTCGCTTCTTACTTTTTTTGTATACATAATACGAAGTATATAAAGCATTTTCCCTTTATGGTGTGTGTTTTGTTAAACTTGGCAAGTTGGCAACAATAATTCTTCTTGAGGTTCATTCTCTTTATATTATATTCCCTTCGTCCCGTTAAGAGTGTCCCATTTTATCTTTCCGGTCCGTCCCACACTCCCACTAAGATCGTCCCATACAAAATTTGGTAAAGTTTGTGCGACTCTAAATCATTCTTACTGTATTCTTACTTTTTATTAGTGTGTCTGACTCAATTCAATATCAACCACATAAACCACTTTTTGTTAGTTTGCATGCTACTTCCTCTTGTCCCATGTTAGTGAGACGGAGGAGTATTAGCTAACTGAAATTTTCATCTAAACATTTCGCTAAAGAAAATTTCTTATATTCCTTATATGTATTGTGTTGGAAAAATGTGTGAAAAATTACATTAAATGGTAATTTTGGGGCAATTTTTTGAGTGGGGTCCACTTCCGATTTGGGTCGGATCAAAGTGGTTTCAGATTGTCCTTGTTAAAGGCTACAATTCGATATATGGTACGCTCAAAACAGATAACGGGTGAATGAAAAATTAATTCTCGAAGTTTACCCGTTAGAATGAAAAAACATGGAAAAAGGATGAGTTTCTAGTGTGTTATTTCCCACACCGGAAAATCCAATGGATTTGCAACCCTTTATAAAGGGACTCTCCCCTTAAGGAGTTAAGATTCCTAAGGGTAAAGGCTCTCTCCACGCGCACAGGGGGTGCAAATCAAATCCCGAAATCGGAGAAGAAAAACGGCGACTTGCGTGCGCGGGCGACTTGCGGACACGAATGTCGTCCAAAAATCTATCTCTCATGAGATACGGTTAATTTTTGTTTTCTTCCCGAAACGTTTATTTTTCCAAGTGACAGAATGCTCCGGACAGAAGACCTCGGTATGGTGTTCTGGTGGCGTCGGACAGAACCCCTCGAAGCGGTGTTCTGTTGGCGTCATACAGAACCACTCGAATGGGTGTTCTGTTGGCTTCGGACAGAACCCCTCGTAGGGTGTTCTGTTGGGAGGTCTTCTGGTCGCGTTCGGAACCGTTACAACAATAAATGCTCAACATTCTTATCTTTTAATGCAACGTTAAATGGACAGTTCATGGACGATTCAATGCCCAACGGACTGGTCATTGATGTCCAACGTTCAGGTCCATTAATTCACCATTTACACACAACAAATCCTCCTATATAATGGCTGGCAGTTGGTTTGCAACAACCCACGTTGATATACATGTTCATACACATTTCTCACTTATTTCTGAGCTCAAAAACACCTCCAGCATTCCGAAAAATTTCCTGAGTGTTCATACTGTGTTCTCGTTCACTGGAACTCTTGTTTGTGTGCTCAAACATTAGTTCGAAGTCATCGTATCCTGGGAAACGATTGTTGCAACGCTCCTAGCACCGTGGGAGGCAACAAATACGTTTTAAGGACATCGAGCGTAGCACGAGCTTTGACTAATTTCTGCTCCATCTTATTTCTGTTTTCTTTCGTCATTTTAATTAATTCATTTTAATTAATTTTCTTTATTTTCCGAAACACACCCAACATATTGTACTCGAAATATTCTTGATAGCATACAACTATAGGTCTATAGTGCTTTGTTGAACTCAGCACAATTATTAGTTATTGTAAATGAGTCCTTAATTCAGGATCAACATCACTATTGTCGCACTTTGTAACTGATGTCTCCTCACTTTTTTTTTGTAGAAGTGCATCAGTTGTTCTATTTGTCCACTCTTATAAATAACCTTTTATATCCAACTATTCACTCATTGTTGAGTTGGTTTTACAGTATGACTGTGTGTGTCCGAGGTGTTGTTTTTTTATTGTTGGTCTTCCAAAAGAAACTTGTACCGGAGTATTAGTTTATTTTCTCTATTGTATCGGTCAGAGTGATGCATGAAAGAAATTTTGTCACATTTCTCTCTTGTATCTTTAGGTAAAAATAAAATAATAGAGTTACATTATCTTATATCATCAAAGGTGAATAATTCTCTCTGGGCTTACTTTATACTAAGCAAGCAATATGTTTAATGTTCATAGCTAAAATAATTCCAAATACAATGAAATTAACATATTCAATTGCTTCATTCCAATGATAAATATGATAAACAAAAATATGTACTATTTCCATGTTACCTCAAATAAGGAATATTCATGAACAAATGTTGTTTCACTTACCAACTTAAGATATTTCGTAAATCATAAGAAATAAAATAACATCATTCCCATTTACTCAACAGACTCAACACCATGCAAAAATAGCCAACAAAGAACACACCATCCATCGCCAATTAATCAATAAAAGGCAACAACTACATTTATAATTTGAAACATATTAGAATCACAAAACCAATTCTAGAAACTTGTAGTCAACATGCTTTTGTGTTGTACGTAGTAGAAGATTTTTTTCTTCACATATTGAGAAGATTTTTTCTTCACGATCACATTTTTATGGTGTCTGAGAATAAGATTTGATGCCTTGAAGAATATAGGTAGAGAACTCATGAAGAAAACCTCTATAATATATCATCACAAAAGAATATAGAACGTGCGATCGGCATGCATGTTTGAGAAAAAAAAATTGTTGCCCTGGAGAATATCGGCATGCATGCATGCATCGAAATAAATCTATCATAGGTTCGTAGCTATGGATTTTGATTGAGCATTTTTTAAGTTGGGTTAAAACATTGACAAAGTGCACAGACTATCGTTGTTTTATCCCTAAGATGTGATTCATTTACTGATTTACTCTTGAATATGAAAATTTATACTTTTAATAGGATCAAATTAGTTTTATTTGTGAATGGAAAATCATACCTATTTATTTTTGAAAGAACCTTCTAGGAATGAAAAAGTGACACTCTCATCGTATTGTAATATTTTATTTTATACAATTGAGTTTGACAAAATATTTAAGGGGAAAATAATATGCGTAAGCGATTAAGCAGCGTGATAAATAATTTTTTTTTTTATCGTCAGCGTGATAAATAATTGAAAAATCACAAGAAGTGATGAAAATAGAAAAGAAATATAAAAACTAGAAAAAATAGTGATAATTTAGTATTCCGTATATTTAAAGTAAAACTTATTAACATGAAAAATGTAACAGTAATTAAAATAATGTAGCAAATAAAAGAATAGTGAAAGAGTATTATTTTTCCATATTTGGCTAATTTGTGAAATTTCAGCAGCGTGCAACTCTTTTCCAAGTTTCCATTGATAATCCCGAGCTTCTTTATTCGGCATCCCAACTAACCCTCTCCGCCTGCTTCTCACTCACAGTCTCTTCTCTTCTCTTTACAGAAATGGGTTCTAGGACTGGATCGCACCAGCTCAGCAATGGACTCTACGTATCTGGTCGGCCGGAGCAGCAAAAGGATCGGCCACCTGCAGTTTCATCACGGGCAGTGCCGTACATAGGCGGTGATGTCAGGAAATCAGGTGAGCTGGGCAAAATGTATGGAGTAGCTTTGTCGGGAGAGGCCACAGGACCCCCTTCCTTTAAGGCCTTCTCAAGAGCTTCTTCATCTTCACAGCACAACAGTGCATCTCTCAGATCCGGCCCTAGCTCGGGGGAGCTTGGCCACAAACCCAACTACTCCGGTCCAATCCCTAAGAGATCATCATCTTCCTCTTTTTCTGGTCCAATGACTCCCATTCAGCCTACTGGGCTCATCACTTCCGGTCCATTGGGGTCCAGTGCAGGACGCTCCGCCCAGCTAGAACCACCGTCGGTACCTTCTACTAAAGTAAAATACGGTGCGGGTGTTACAAAATTGAGTGAGGAGGTGAAACTAGGGTTTAGAGTGTCGAAGCTCGCTATTTGGGTGTTTCTGGTTCTGCTCTTAATGGCTCTTGTAGTAGGGGCGTTCCTGATGGTTGCCGTGAAGAAATCGATGGTCCTCATTGCACTTGCTATCATTTTAGCTCCAGCAATGGTGTTGTTGATATGGAATTTCACGTACAAAGAGCGAAGCTTGCGGATGTTTCTCAAAAGATATCCAGATGCCGAGCTTAGAGGTGCAGTTGACGGACAGTACATCAAGGTCACTGGGGTAATATCGCCCCCCTTACGCCCTCTATCTAAACGTTTGACAGTGTGTTTGTGAGTGTTGAATTGTAAAATGAAAGCTTTCATGTACGGAGTATGTAGTAATCCTGCTAAGATATTTGTTAGAAATTGAAGAACTCAGTGTAAATGAAAAAAATTAAAGGTGATGCAATTGTGATTGCTAAATGAAGGTGTAGTATTCTTATAAAGATGAAAACGTTGATTTTGTGCGATTTAGAAGTATTGCTTTATTGTTTGTGGCTTTGTGCCTTTTTGTGGAACATTCTTAGTATCTCAAGCAGAACTAATTTGATGAGTATTGAAACCGGTTGTCCTGTTAGTGGGAATGTGGGGAAAATGATGAAATTTTGTGACAAACTCTATATTACTAGGTGGAGATGAGGTAGAGGGCCGGTGATGAGAGCATAAAGGCATGAGTAGCAACAACAAATTGCGCACCTCAGTTTTTTGGGGGTTGTTGTTTGCGATGAATAATGTGCCAATATGCTAATCTGAGGTCACTGATTATTACAGATGTTGAAAAATAGAAGAAAAGTGAATGTAGGAAGTGGTTTTATTCATGTTGGAGTGGATTTTTTGCTTTAATATTTTCCAGAACTTATTTTCATAGTTGTATCTAAATAAACTCATAGCAAGGGAAATGATATTAAATTAGAGAAATTGTAGCAATTTGCTTTGTTGTTTTTGAGTAATAATTATTCGAACTCAACCTTGGACTCAAACATGCATGCGTAAGTATATGTAAATGGCTCACGTAACATATTCTTTGACTTATATGAAATTCATCACTCATTTTTCATCCAAATGCTCTTTTATGTAGATTGTCACATGTGGTAGTATTCCTCTAGAAACTTCTTTCCAGAGGATACCAAGATGTGTATATGCTTCAACAGAATTGCATGAGTACAGAGGATGGGGTGCTAAACCTGCGAATTCTAGACACTGCTTATTTTCATGGGGACTAAGGCATTCCGAGGTAAGTTATGTTTTGATTTTTGAGGAATCTCCCAATCCGAACTCCAGCCTCTGATTATTTGGTGACTACATTCTTTAAATTTTTGTAGTTTTGTACTCCCACTTTTTAATGTAAAGAGTGTTCCTGGCCCTAGTCTTAGCCTTTAGTCCTCTCTTAACTTTTGCTTGATCCATTTTACTTTTATGGAAGTCTATCATTAGTTGATCGACATGCCTTCTTTGGCAATTGCAAATGTATGAAGACATAAATATTCATATTTTTAATTTTATCTTTCCATTATTATTACCTTTTTAGTTTGTACTTCTCATCACTACTTTTTCACTTTCTCAGCAGTATTAACTACATCTTCAACTTTACTCCTAATATCCATCAAATAATTACTTGAGAGAGTAAAACTGATCTAAGTGTTTTAAAAAAATAAAAATCTTAACATGGTTGTTTTGTAATTAAAAATGCAATAATTTTTATGCATAAGAATAATCACTCAAACTAGTTATGACTAAAAAGTATAAAGAAAATTAAGAAAATAAAATCAATTCTCTAAAATCGCCAAAATTGGGGAAGTGAGATGAAGAGTTTGGAGGATTACGTAACTCTTCCACGCCCTCTACTGACACCCATAACCTGTCTGCTTTTCTCTCGTCTCCAAAGTCATCCAACCATTGAGGGCTAAAAGAAATTATTTTCATTTTGTTGTAGTAAACGTCGTTCTTTTGAGGGAAAAAAAACTTCCAGCTCTAATTACTGAGGGCATCGATCTGCGATAATTCAACACTGCTGTTACGGCATGAAAGATCGTGATCACATTATAGTGGGGCCCAATATATTCTGATGTGATGTGGTCATGTGGACCTTCTGTTTAGTAATATACAGTTACTTCAAAATGCTTACGCTTACGAAAATACATGAAGAATTGGTCTTGCACAAGCATGGTTTGCAAATATTTGTCCCCTGTTGCTCAATAAAGTTTATGACACCATTTGGTAACCAAAAGTGGCTTAATCCGTTTACCCAGAATGAGTAGCTTTTGACTTATTTGGCTGAAATTCGATCCAATTCAGTAGATTCTGCCAGTTAAACCACATCACCCACACCAAAAGGTATCTTGTGGTGCATACACATGAATTTTGTTTCTTTTTCTTGAACAGAAATATGTGGCGGATTTCTATATATCAGACTACCGAACTGGGCTACGAGCTTTAGTCAAGGCGGGCCATGGAGCCAAGGTTGCCCCATTTGTCAACTCTTCAACTGTTGCAGACTTAACAAAGGATAGTAAGGAGTCATCCCCAAATTTTATGCAGTGGCTTGCTGATCGAAGCCTCTCGAGCGATGACCGTATAATGCAACTCAAAGAAGGGTAAGCCAACCGGGACTGCTCTCTCTTTCTCTCTCATTTACCTAGGTTCTAAAAATGCCTTGCAACCATTCATTGGGTGTGTTTGGGTCTTTGACCTAAGAAGTTATTTCAACTCAAAAACTGAAAACCTGATCGCTAGAAGTTGGAGAGTGAATTTCGTTGGCTATGGAATGATTAGAAGTACATTTCCTATACTAAAAAGATGACAGATGAGTGGTTCTTTTTGTGTAAAGAATAGACCAATAATGGCATTTGGTAAAAAAAACAGTACTTAGTATCTTACTCCCTTCTTTCTCTAATAACTGTCCTCTTATTTTTTTAAGAAGAAAATAGTAGAGGTAATATAGAAGGTGTAGGGTAAATGAAAAAGTAGGAAAGAAAGTATATTGAGAAGAGAAAAATAATGAAAAAGTAAGAAAGAGAAAGTAGTTTGTAAAAAGTAAAAAAGGTAAGGGTAATAAAAGTGAGTGTGTAATGGTATTTTGATAGGAAAAACTTATTAACAGGGGAAAGAGAGACAAGTAATAAAAAACATCCCAAAAAGGTATATGATACCGTTATTAGAGAACGCAGTGAGTATTTCACAAATAAGATCATATCTTAAGCTCTTGCTTAGTTTATCACCCATACCTATTATGGTGTTCTTTATGCTTAATCTAATTTTCGATTTTCAGGCTTATTTGATACTCCAAATAAGGTATCTGTTCTGTATAGCAAATTGAAAAACAGCCTAAAATAAGTTCTCTTATATCCTAAAATTTTAAAAAATTATGTTCAAATTATTTATTGTTTCCGAACCAATTTTTGTTTTGAGATAGTGTCACCAAATTTGAAATTAAAGCCCAAGAAATAATCTTATAAGCAAAGACACAAGTTTGCAAACAAGGATAACTAAGGATGACTATTATGGCTACACTGTAATAGAACAGCTATTGCTACTTAATATAGTGGCAGAGATGGCAGCGCTGGATACTTTGACCTAGGCAGAGAACCTGTCCAAGATCAGACAATAACTGGAATCTCAAAAGTCATAGCACCTGTCCCTGATCGCCGTAACTGTAATATCAGAAGTGTATGACCAAAGACCTGACTGGTATAGTTCCGGTCTGGAACATGCTTAACTCTGGTCCAGGGCCAGACCACGTACAGGGTATGACCGGGCTGGGACTGGACCAAAAATGTGGTACATTAAAAAATGTTTTCTTTTTCATACTGGCTTGCTAGGTCATATTCATTTTTTACTGTTCTAAGTACGTAAAAAAAAGTTCAGTTGGAGTTGATACTTGAAATGTGCATACCAACTAAATATAAATTTGATGAGGTAAATCTAATTTTAACTGTCCTTTGTCCCTGTATTGTTTTTGCTAATGGCATTTTCGTTTATGTATGCAACATCATGTATTTTATTTGATCTGTACAAGGAATGTCTTTCATCATTCATTTTCTCTAATCTGTACAAGGAATGTCTTTTTTGTTTGTTTTTTCATTTTATGCATAAATAAATCAGCTCTCAATATCTAATTTTGTGAAATTACTTGTATTTCAATTAGAGGGTTTGCAGCTCATAACTATTGACTTATTAGCTGTCAGCTAGTATTTCAGTTTTGTGTGCCAAACACACCCTATATTTGTTGCTTGAAATAAGTTATGAGATCTACCAAACATACACATTGGTGGCACTTTTCCCCTTGCTCTAGCAAAATGGGGAAAGACTGATGATTGTTACCTTGTATGGGCAGTTACATCAAAGAAGGAAGCACAGCGAGTGTGATGGGAGTAGTGAGACGCCATGATAATGTGTTGATGATTGTCCCGCCAAGAGAACCTGTTTCAATGGGCTGTCAATGGATGCAATGCATATTCCCAACCTATACAGCAGGGTTGATTTTGACATGCGATGAAGACCAAAGTGATGATGTAGTTCCTGTATAGATGATGTGCACAAAAACTGACTCAGGAATGGAAACATGGGGATTTTCTCAAGTGTATAGAATGAATGGTGAATCTAGGAGAGCTTCCATTTTTTCCTGTAATGGTGACATGGTGGTGAGTTCACAATGGGCTGGACAAAAAAGCTCATTTATTTGTAGCTCTAAGTTTATTTGTAAATAACTTTTTGATGAGGTGCTTATGACTATGGTTTTGCCCTCTTCCTAAATCGACTATGTTACCATTAGGCTAAATTCTAAAGTACATATTTCGTCATTTTCGTGTATAGTTCTGGTCTATTTGCAGAAAATGGGGGGGTGGGGGGGGGGGGGTGGGGGGTGTTGGATCGTTCATTTTAATGAGATTCTAAACCTTCTCGCCCAATGAGATTCTATTATGAAGCCACGTACCCGCACGGGTAGCTCAGCTGGTCGAGTGGTGGGAAAATTGAAACTATGACCAAGGTTCGAATCCCCGTAGTGACCGGGTGGAGGTCACAGAACCTGAAATAAGGTTGGGCCTCTGGTGCGCACGGGGTAAAAGGTCTACTGTCACTCTGCTGACTGAGTCATTGTGACTTACATTTTCCCATGTGCTCTGTCGGGTCGGGGCGTGGGGGGCGCTTGGGGTTGGCGATTCAACCTTTTGGAACTACTATTATGAAGCCATGTTACATCCTAGTCATGGGGGGGGGGGGGGGGTTGGACCATTCCTTTTTAATGAGATTCTACTGTACCTTCAAAATAATTGATGTACCGGCACTAGTCATGGACCCGGGCCGGGCCTGGACGGGCTTTTTTTTTGGGAAGGAAGGCCCGAGACTGGCCCGGGTAGGCACCGGGTTCGGGCTGGGCCGGGCCGGGCCGGGCCAGGCCTCCGGTTTGGTCATTTGTTTTGCGTTCCTAACCCCCCCTCACCCCCCAAACCCCTCCCAACCATCAAGCCCAACCCGGGTGCAACCCCAAAAAATGAAAAAAAAAAAATCAATTCGGCCCGGACCCGGGCCGGTTCGCCTAATAGAAGGCCCGAGCCCGGACCCGCCCCCCACCGGGCCTAGGCCCGACCCGGACCCGAGAACCGGGCCAGTTCCGGGCCCGCACAGTAGCGGGCCGGGCCGGTCCCGAGCCAGGCGGTCCGAACCGGGTCCATGACTAACTGGCACCTTAACCTCCATGGCCAATGAGATTCTATTATGAAGGCATGAAGCCACGTTACATCCTGGTCATTAGTGTAATACGTAGTAAGTTTTATTATTTGCACCATACTCCCTGGTATTCAACGTTTGTTAATTGCTCCGTCACTCTTGTCAATTCCTGCAACCTGTTTTCCTTCCTGACGCGAGGTCAAACGGAAAACATGAAACAGAAGGCAGTCAAACACCCAGTGTGACGCAATGGATGTCAGGCATTTTTAAAAATTGAAGGATTATGTTTCCAATTGAAACAAAAAAAAAACTCCAAATCCCCTTTCCATCGTTTCTCTTCGATTGCCCCTTTAAAAAGAGATGAGAAGATGGAGCCACAACCACATGCATATCAACAAAGATATTTGTCATCCTTTCCGTTACCGGAGCCTAATTCAGAGATTGGAAGCACTGAAACACAAAAGTTTGGTTCTGATTTTGGCTGGTGTTTGGATTCGTTTCATCGGTGGGTTTGATGTAGCCGCACAAAACAAGTGGAGTGATATTTGTGTGGAAATGACGGAAGTAATGTGTGTAACGTAGCATTGAGTAGTTAATAACAAACTTTAAATATTTCATTCATTTATTAGGGCCTAAAATTCAAATAATAAAACTTAGTTTAGTAATAATGTAATATATGAGTAGGATCCTAACGTGGCTTTCCACGGTAAAGTGATGGGATAAAATGTTAAATGCACCGATACCTCCTTTATTTTTGAATGCACCGTAGAAGTACCTTTTAATGATATGAAAATGGGAGGATTCTTCACATCATGGACCATAAAATACTCCTTTGTCGCTTGCATAATTGTATTAGCAATAAAAGCCGCATATAGACGCAGTAATTGCTATACTTGCTACGGACCATCTAAAAAAAGGATGACACCTCATCCCTGAGGGTCCCCCAACACCGACCGGAGGGCACGATGTAAATTGGACTATAATCACAATCTGTGTAATAGAGAGTGGCTCCGTCCCCGGTACTTGCAGAGGTCCTATGCATTTTTAGCATAGTAACCTCTCATCGCAGTTGCCGGGATTTTAACCCGGGACCTAACCCTTGTGGCACTCCCTCGCCACCAGTTGAGCTACGCCCATCCTGAGGGCCCCCCATTTTTTTTGAAAACGACCATCTTCTACATCCATTAGCTTTTATTGATAGTTGCATAAATTTCTCTATTTTAAATCACGATTTGGACATATATTTCTCTATTCCTTGACAGTTGCATCCATTGCGCAGTAGCCATGAACTTCCAACCCAAATTTTCATCAGAACTCTAAACATTGAAATCATTTTTAGGGTGAAGGCGCTCGATTCAATATCATGAATTACATGACTACATGAGGTTGGGAAAATCTCTTTGGCATCACTAAGGATACCTTCTTGTCTATCTGATTCAAGATGCTTTGGATTCGAAATCAGTCCAAAAGCTAATGGGACAATATGATCATGTCAACGTTTTGTGCATAAGATTTGGACAATGCAACTTTGTAGTATGTTTTTCATGAATGATCCATTTACAATTAACACAAATCTGCAAAAAAGCATGATGCCAAAGTGCAAAAGACATAAAAAAAAATAACAAAATTGAGGCATATATATATGTAATATGCCATAGAAGGTAATTTTTTATTGGACTCCGAATTTGATCCATATTGCTTCTACATTACTATTTTATATGAATTTGAGAATTATATAAAGTTTAATTAGACACGGAGTAATTTCCCATCCAGGTTTTGCTGATGATTTGTTAATTTTTATTAAAGGGGAGTCAAGATCATTAATGAACTTCAAAGCTTTTCTAAATACCTACCAGGAGGCTTCACAACAGACTGTCAATCTTTCAAAAAGCTCTATCATCTGTGGGAATTCTTCTCCAACAAGGCAGACCAAAATCAAGGATCTTTTGGGCATAAAAGCATGCCTCTCTCCCTATCATATACCTAGGTGTGAACCTGCACAAAGACATAAATAGATTTGACTATTGTGGGAATATTATCAAACAGTTTGAAAATAAACTATATCCTTGGAAGCAAAAAACTCTATCTCAAGTTGAGAGGCTAGTGCTCATCAAATATGTTATGAACTCCACTCCCATACATCTACTTGCGGTAGACACTTTACCTAAAAAAAGGTTTCTACAGTTCTTAACAGTAAGACCAGTTCTTTCTTCTGGGGATCAACTGCTGATAATAATAAATAGAATTAATTGCACTTTTGATCCTACCAGTTTTGTGTCAGTTCCTCATTTAGTTCATATCTTTCACTTTGTTCACTTTTGGTACTAGACTAATGTTTTTAACCGTTTGTGGTCGTTTTCCGGCAATTTTTACCATTGGAATAAATGCCAACAGGATCATATATGAGCGAAAACACAAAAGTCATGCATCAAATGTGGACAAAGTGAAAGATGTGGACTAAATATGGAGTTGACCTAAAACTCGTAGGACCAAAAGTGGAATTTATTCTAATAAATATGATTGGATAAGATGGGACAAGTTGCGTTTTCCTACTGTTGAAGGAGGGTTGGGGATTAGGTCTTTAACAGATATTGAAAAAGCTTTTACTCTCAAATTGTGGTGGAAATGGAAGACATATGATTCTCTATGGGCCCAGCTTATGAGAACTAAATATGATAGGAATGGAAACATGTTACCTAAGATCACAGACTCTGCTATCTAGAGAAGAACTTGTTCAGCCAATGACCAAGCTTCTGAATTGTGTTATGTTGACCCATAAGGTAGAATCATTTGGAATGAAGAAAATGATGGTCAGTTTACATTTAAATCTGCATATGAGGAGGTAAGGGAACTATTTTTTTGTTCTTACAACTTCCAACAAATATGGGCCACAAAGCAAGAGCTTAAGATTAAATTGCTGCAGTGGAAAATCATCAAAGGGATACTGCCTACACCAGACAATTTAAGCATATTTAAGATAGTTCTCAATCCATCAATGTGCCCTCTTTGTAGAAGACACAATGATAAAATGAAGCATATTTTTTCATTGCTTTATGGTAAGATGAATTTGGCAAATTTTTTTAGTATTATTGGAATTCTCCAAACTCCTAGGATGGATTATGGGAATTTACGCTATTGAAGGACTGAGGATGTAGAAAAAAGCTGGGTTGCCATATTTAAACAAAACCTCCCTGAAATAATTTGTCGAATTATTTAGAAAATCTATTCTAACCAAATTCGGGTTCCTAATTCGGATAACATCATCCTCCAAATGAAGATGTATGTACAAAATTGGGTAGTAATCTTAATTACTTTTAAGCTTCGGTTCATTGGAGAGATGCTATTTGAAGAGGGACTATTACCTAGAAATTTCCAAATTAATGGTTCCAAGCTTCAAATTATTCAATGGCACAAGCCGAACAAACTATGAAAATTGAATGTGGATGCGAGTTACTTATCCAAGAGGGCCACCGGAGGAGCGATTTTGCGTGACCGAAATGGTGACTTCGTCTCGACGATTAGCTTTCCGGTGCCAGCTCAATCACCCGTGGACGCAGAGCTACAGGTGATCTTCCTTGCTGTGAGATGGGCGATCGATGAAGGGTATGTTGGCTTTAAGGTTGAATCAGATTTCGTTTCTGCTCTGGGATATCTAGCGGGCAAAGAAGGAAGAAGGTTGACGAATGCAATTTAGGAAATCACACAGGAGGCTTTCAGGAAACATGTGAAATTTGGACATATGAAATACGAAGGAAATTCGGTTGCGCATCATTTGGCCCAGGTCCAGAAGGATCGTTTTGAAATTTATTTTGTCAAGGATCAGCTTCCGGTTATTGTTAAAAGGGCTTTTTGGATGGTGTTTTTTGTATACCTTCTTTTAGAATGTAATTCTTTTGTGATTGTTTTTTCCGGTAAGGTTTGACCCCCTGAATTTGCTATGTACTTTGTTTGCATTTCTAATAATATTCAGTAAATGTTCATCGACATTTATGTCACTTATTTTGGTGGTTTACCTAGCAGATTAAAAAAAAGTAAAATACAAAGGCTATGTTTGGCACAATGAGCTGGAACTGGAGGCTAATGTCTGAATTAGGGATTATTGTCTGAACAACTGACGATTGTCTGGAGCTGAACTTTGAAGTGCTAAATCTGATTGTTAGCT